ATTTTAACCATTTTTTAATTTTAAAATTTTATAATTAGATATAAAAATAGATTTTGAGATAATCCTAACAACATTTTACATCAAAATTATATACCATAATAAAATTTTAAGGTGCACCTTACCTCTACACCTGTGGATGCATCAGTATGCAAACTGCACCCATAATTAAAATGCACTAAAGTTCATGCATGAACTAAACACATTGAACTAGATTACTACTTTATGCAAGAAAATGTCAGAAGTTGTGAGATTATTCCTTGTCAGGCTTCAGCCACAAAACAGCTTGGGGACATTGTCAAAAATGGTCTCCGTATTTCTCAACACTATTGGATAGCGAACAAGTAATCAATTTTTCACAATGGCAACAATTTAAAGGGGGTAGTGGAAATAATATACAAAGATCATCGTCATATATTTGACATTATTGTAATCGTAGACCATGTTGTAATATTTACCCATCCACCTGTTGTTGTAATTTAATCCTTGATTGAGTCAATAAGGATTCTTATCAAAATTGTTGAATATACACTTACTATTTATAGAACCCACAATCCTCTTTGGGTGCGTGGTGAATTTCATACAAATTGATCTCTCTAAATTTCGTCTCTCTCTCTCACTCAGCAATCCCACCCTAGCCCTAGACTCTTCTCTCTAGCCTACACATGTGGCCCAAATGGGCAATCTAGCTTGGTGTACAAAACCATGTTGCCTCCCATGCTCTTTGCATATCGTAATTGAGTTTTATCATCTTATGCTTCCCATTTGGAGGAGATTATAACAAGGACCAAGATCATGGGGATTGATCCGTGTGACCTGGAGCATAATTAGCAAGTCGGGGAATAACAATATATTGGCAAAATCGGAGGCAAAAAAATCAGGTCAAAACTATCCATCATAAAAAATTAGTTAAGCTAGAGAATCGTAATTATTTTTAATTTGGCTAAAGAAACAAAGTGAAAAAATCGAATATGCAAAGAAAACATGTATAAGATTATGAGTTGCGAACATTTTATAAATATATTAAAACCATTGAAATATTAATTTTTATGTCCTTAGTATCTTTAGAGTCATAATTGATAATTATCTAATCTTTCAATAAATATAACAATGCTTTCTCTATTGTCACGACACAAAATATGCTAGATTTATTGGGAGCATACAATGAAACAACAACAACAATACTAAACACAAGAATTACATTAGCAAACAACAAGAACGAGACCCAAGGAATGGAATTATTATTATTGGAAGATAAAAAATATAAATGACCTTCAGTATACTAAAACACACAAAAAAAAAAAGAGGGAAGAAGAAGTGAAATAGCAATCCGTCCAAATTGTTATATACAATAATGAAACTTCTATATGTAGAAAGAAAACAATATAGTGTTTAAGCAAATCCAAATATTTGAAGCCCATTCCAAACTCCTAGCAGCCCAAATCTTTAGTTGTCATTGAATCTCTCTCTTGCTCTTTAATAATGACGCTCAGTATTTAGAGAATTTTTTTTTTTTTTCATTAAGTAATTCTTCTTCTAACTCTAACTATTATTTTGAGATAAATAGTTGTTCTGATGGATTTGTATTTAAAGAATATATGGGGCATATATTGGAAAAAAAATTTAATGGAAAATTTTGTTAAATCAAGATTCTTAATTCACTTCTAATTTTAATATGTTATCTCTAAGCCAAAATTTGAAGACATTAAATATATGAAGAGATCAAGTTATATGGAAGTAGTTTTTTCTGTTTTTTTTTTTTTGAAATATCTTTAGAGAAACGGAGAGAGCAAGCCTCCATTTAAGACATGATTTCTTAAAAAAATATTCAATTTTTTAAAAACATCTTCCATTTTATGAAATCCTTAAAGATCTTTTAAAAATCATATTTTTTTAATGGAACTGATATAAATCCATATTTATCTTTTTTTAAAAAAAAACTTATAAAAAAACTTCTTCCCAATAACTTTATCTCTTCATTGATTTAATATCTTTGTATTTTGGCTTAGAAATAAGCATGTCAAAATTGGAATAAAATTAAGCTTTCTATTTAACAAAAATTTCCATAAAAAAATTCCTCTAATATGTACCCTTAAAAATAATGCAATATATTGTCCAAAAGTAATCCATCAAAACAACCATATATCTCAAAATAATACTTAGGTTAGAGGAAGAGTTACTAAACAGAAAATATTTTTTCCCTCTAAATAAAAAGCGTCATTACAAATAGCAAAAAAGACAACTAAAGATTTAGGCATCTAGAAATTCATTGTGAGCTTTGAATATTTGGATTTATTTTAAAAAAAATTTTGCTGCTTTCTACATAAGATTGTAATTTCATCTTTGCACTTTTTTTATTTCACTATTGCATACAATATAGTAAGTTGGATAGAGCACTATTTTACATTTTTGGGTTGTGTTTTATTGAACCTAACACTTCTCATCAGTAGTGGAGTCCACCTACATATTGGTTTGCAAATGGAATAGGGCATGTTTTTTAGATTAAGAACAAGATCCACCTTAGACACTCCAACACTTTTTTTTGTAAAAGAATACCGCTACCAAAAATCATGTAAAATCTTTTATTCAATTCTTTCCAACTGAAAAATATCCCCTCAAAGGTGTGTCGATTTCTTTTCAACGAAATCTCCCACGATACCGCCCCTCTTCCAACCAAAAAATCCTCAAGCGATTTTTGTTTTTTTCTTCCAACAATAATTCTATACCTTGGGTCCCGTTCTTGTTGCTTGTTAATGTAGTCCTTGTGTTTAGTTTTAGAGTTGTTGTTTTATTGTTTGCTCTCAATAAATCTAGCATATTTTGTGTCGTAACAATAGAGTAAGCATTATTATATTTATCAAAAGTTTAAATAAGTATGACTCTGAAGATACTAATTCATCATCATCCTTTGAGCCTTTTTGCAAATTATTTGGAGTCAGCTACATGAATCTTGATTTGCCCTTCTGCTTTATCAAAGGTCATACTATCAATGAGGCCATGAGTCCCCATATATTTTCACACAACTTCCAATCATGTCCTTTTGGTCTTACCCCTTTCCTTATTTGAGCCTTTCACTTGAACTAACTCACACCTCCTAACATGTGTTGTATTAGATATGCGTTGCGTATGGTTAGCCCACCTAATTTTGCTCTCTATCATCTTTTTGCCTACTGGTGTTGCACCTAAGTTCTTCTGAATGTATTCATTTTGAATTCTATCCCTTATTATCTTACCACTTATCCATCACAACAACCTTATCTCAGCTACATTCATCCTATAATATGTTGCTTCTTAATTGCCCAACATTTCATCTCATAAAGCAAAGCTGGTCTTACAATTGTCCTATAGAACTTGCCCTTCAGCTTCATTAGTATGCGGCGATCGCATAAACTCCGGTTGTACATCTCCAATTCGCTCACCTAACTCTAATTTTATGTGCAACATCTTCTTCTATATATCAAATTTTCTGAATTATCAACCCAAGATATTGAAAGTATCATCTATTTGGTATTTCTTGATCATTAATCGTAACTACTTCTTCTGTCTACTTCTATTATTACTAAATTTATAGAAGCTTATTCTCTTGGACTAGCTTCTTTATCCACACGTGTCCATAATGTCGCATGAAGGCAGTGCTGTGATCCGCTGCTTCTAGGGTACTCCCTAGCTAACCCTTGTTCATTTCTCACTGTGCCCAATTTCCGGTACAATGTGTCGCTTAAGAGGAAAGCCCTAGCATGAGTATGTATTATTTAGGATCCATTAATAGTTTTGGGAAAGTTTTACATTGGCTGTCTACCTGACACAACCCACCTCCTCTACTCAGGCTTGAGACGGGTTTAGGAAAAGTTTAAGATCCTGACACTTCTTAGATCATCTAAAGATACTAAGTAAGGACATAAAAATTATAGTTCTATGGTTTTCATGTATCTATATAATAATGGCAACTCATAATCTTAAACTGTTATCTATGCATATCAGATTTTTTCACTCTGTTTTCTGAGCCAAATATGAAATATTCACGATCTTCTAATTTAATTAATTTTTGGTGATTCATATTTTTTACCCGATTTTTTGCCTCTAACTTTTATAGTAAAATCGATTTATCATCTATATTTTGATTTGCCGATATATTGACCAAAGCAACAACGGGGGAGAGACAAAGGAAGTGAGGAGCAAGAAAGTAGTTGAGTGAGATGATAATTGTGCAATAACGGATTCTCTTTTTTCTTGGTGGAAAATAAGGGAAAGGTTTCTATGTTTCTCTTACAACATAAAAGATATATATGTTTCCCTTCATCCAGCCGTCCAATTTTAGATCAAGTGAGCCATAGACTGTTTAATCTACATCCAATGCCTCATATGAATATGAAATTTGGTATGTGTCATCATCTCAATAGGACGTACATAAATAAAATATTAAAAAATATTTTTGATAAGATAAAAAGAAATGGTTTATATTTGGCTAACCCAAACGTTGGCTTGGCAATAAATATATATTTTAAATATAATTTAATCTTAATTTTCAAAGAATATATAATGGAGATCATGAATATGAAAAAAAATAAATTGAAAACTAGAAATAATAATTATATTAAAAAACATTTGGACCGTTAGTTACACTTGTTTAAAGATAGGTGCTTTATACCTCTGGATTGTATGGTGAAGAAATGTGGTCTAGCATTTATGAAACAATTTTCCAAAATAAAATGATTAAAATACCTCTAAAATTTTCAAGGGTATTTTAGTTATTTTATTTTAATAGAAACATTCTTTTTATATTTTTTTATAGGTGCGAAGGAGGAGTGGATGCTCAAAATTTGGTATTAAAATATTTTATATAAAAAAGTTAAAAATAAAATAGTGTAGAGGAGTAGATGCTCAAAATTGGGGCCATTGAAGCCGTCCATTTAAAATGGACGGTTGGATAGGAGAAACAGGTTTATGCTGTACGCGAAGCGTTGAAAGCTTGCCCGGAAATAAAAGGCACCAGTGCGGGAGAGTAGATGACGGTTGAGTCAGACGAAAAGAAGGGGAAAGAGTGAGAAGGGGCTGTTAGAAAAAAGATGGCCAGCCGGTTGGGAGGAATACAGGGGAGATGAGAGAAATAGAAAAGAGAAAAACAGGAGATGTGAACTAAAATGAGAGGAGAGAGAATCGGAAGTTTAGGCGTATCGACGGGAAAGAAATCTAGGGATGGATCGGCATTTTAAGAGAGAGAAACACGATCAAATTCTGTTTGAAAAAAGATGACCAGCCGGTTGGGAGGAATACAGGGGAGATGAGAGAAATAGAAAAGAGAAAACAGGAGATGTGAACTAAAATGAGAGGAGAGAGAATCGGAAGTTTAGGCGTATCGACGGGAAAGAAATCTAGGGATGGATCGGCATTTTAAGAGAGAGAAACACGATCAAATTCCAAACGTCGATCAGCAGGTAAATTCACTTCACGCTTTCGGGTTTTATTTGATCTTCTGTTCTTCTTCGTATTATAATCACGCTGAAATTTAGCGAATTGGCACCGCCGCATGGTTTCGTCATATTTTTTCTGAAATTTATACTTTTCTTAGTTGTATGCTCCTAATTCTTTCACTCTTCTTGGATTAAATATCTTGTTTTCCTTAAATCTGATCTCCCTTTTGTATTGGTTTTATCAACTGTTTTCATTGTATTCACAACTTTCTCACTTATCAAAAGTTTGTGATACCCCAAACTGATAGTTTTATTTGATAGTGTTGTGCTCCGAAATGATTATCATGCCATGCTTTTAACAAAATTGCATATGCAGTATTATTTTTTCTTGATCAATAACCTCACTTCCATTAATTAAAATGAGATGTTCGTGTATAAGCCATTTACGGAATTGGGTCAGTCCATCCATTCGATGAGCTCTCAGTCAAAAAATGTAACTAAAATTGATGGTTTGGACACCCAATTGATTGCATGCAGCATAGAGGTTCATGATTTTGAAATTTTTGACACCCCTGTGTGCTGTTTAACTCATTTGGCACACAGCATGAATAGTCCACGTTATTGAGTTTTGATTCATTTCAAATATCCAATTCTGTTCAGCATTATGCCAAGAGTTTCCTGCATGTAAAAATGGGACATAAAACTACCCATTTTTGAAGGTCCTTTTATGTAGCTCTATATTCTCCCATCTTTAATACTTCTACTCTGTATGTCATGCTTCTATTTCCATGTCTGTTGTTGGCTCTACTCGATGTTTGGTTCTCTCTTCCACAGCTGTTCTAAACTTTATTTACAGTGTCCAAATGGTTTTGACTGAGTGTTTAACCTTTAAAAATATCTATACAGTTTATTAGGTTAACATTGGACGATATCCATACAAGCATTTGGTTGTTGTTTGACCACTAAATATGTTCACATTTTAAAAAAAAAGGACCACAGAAAGGTCAAAATACAACTTACTATTTATAAGAACTAACCCTTCTTGAAATGGTAAACCAGTTCTTTGATGTCCCACCTGTTTATAAGGTGAGTGTTGTAAACTTTGCATATTCAAAGGATAGGAGGGGCATAGAGAGAGGAGCCATGGTAAGGTTCTTTAGACAGTCTCCCGATCTTTTGAAAGTTGGAGTGTTCGGTTTACCTATTTCAAAATATGGATGAAAGGTGTAAAATGGGTGACAATGTCCTTCAATCTTATGAGTGGATGAAGATAGATGATTTGGATCTTGGAAAGCGCAGAACTTGCTTGATGAGATGACTATGCTTTATATGCATATTTAGATGGCCCAACATAGGCAAACAATAGATACGTTTCATGATCAGAAACAGTTTTGCTTGCCCATTGGGGATTCTCGGGCTTCAGGGCTTTAGGATGCTTCAACGGACCTCAGGACTCTTTACTCTTGAGACCTAAGAGACCTTTAAAGGCTTGGTTAAGATTATAAACAATTTTAGAGATCTCCTTGGTCCAACTTTGTTTCAGGATTGTTGTTGTATTATTTGCATAATAAAATGTTTGCTTCTGATAAAGAGATTCGAGTATCAGAAATACTGAAGCCTGTATAGTTGATTGAACTATTTAATTATTATCAGTTTCTTTTTTTCTTGATCTTATTCTTATTAATCTCACAAGTCATAGTAAGGCTGAAGTTTTAATACTGTTGCGCATATTAAAACATGGCCAAGCTTCACGCATATAAGACTATGGTGCTGCTGTTAAAACTACTTTATATGATTAATTTATGAAATTGTTCAATGATGCTGATATTGAACTTTATCTTTGTATCCTTTTCTCTTGAACTTTTTTACTTGTTTTCCAGGAAGGCAGAGTTGCATTTTGGCTACATGATCCTGAATCTGGATGGAGTTACAGTGTTACAATTCCTTCTACGACGGTTCAGCCCAAATCGAGAGCCATTGATGGAAGTTTGATTAATCCTATAGTGGTAAGATTTTACTGAAATCCTGCATTGTTTAGTCTTTTACTTGATTCCTGCTGTCTAATATGTATAGCTAAGCCCATATGACATGCCCATTTGTTAATTAACCAACTTTATGGAAACATTATTAGTAAACTGATAACATACTTTACTGAAACAGGTGCCCCCCAAAAAAAAAAAAGGAAATTGTTGATCCCTTCTTATGAACGTCTTTTGCATGCTTTAGAATGATGATTATACTGTGATTTTTTCATATTATCATTCTTTGCCTTTTCTTCGAGACACAGTATCTATTCAAATGAGATGCTAGGCTGCAGAATGATAGATCCTACGATCTTCCGTAGTTTAAGATATATGTGTACAAACATTTAGAGATTCCATACCCTTTAAGGTCCATATAACACAGTGCATTCTACTCTTCACTAATCATGATTAATTTATAGGATGCGGAGATTTATTGGCTTTCTTTCTTTCTCTTTTTTCTCTTTTTTTTTGTGAAAATGTTTGACAGCAATTTTCTTACTCATATGTTATTTGTGTAAGTACTCATTTGTTGCACACATGTATTTTTTTCTCTTTTTTTTTGTGAAAATGTTTGACAGCAATTTTCTTACTCATATGTTATTTGTGTAAGTACTCATTTGTTGCACACATGTATTATCTATGTATTTGTATAGATGTAATCCTTTTGGAATGATTTATGTAATTCTAGTAAAGTTGTCATTGCAACCTTGCTATTTCAGTTTTGAACTTTGTGAATGGGACAGTTTTACAGGGTCCAAGTGGCTATTGAATCTCCGCAGGGAGTAAGTACTACCCGGTCAATACTTCGAAGGTTCAGTGACTTCCTGAAGCTATTTACAACTGTAAGTATATAATTTCTATGCATGTTTTGGTACGTGAAAGTTTTCCATTCACAATGTCAGTGTTTGCAACTTAAGACGAAGTTGTAATTTGCATTCTTCTTTTCATGGCATATTTCTGTTTGACTCTCTACCATTTGATCTTTAAATTGTGATGTCGATTCTGCTTGTCAGCAAAGGGTGCTTTTGGAGTCTCTGCATAGGAAACTAGCACCTCTTATCAACTGTTATTTGGCTTGACACCTTTCCTAGATATTCATATGATCTTATCATTTTCACTTTTCAGTTTTGTTTGCTTGTTGGTTACGTCTTGTTTGTACACAGAGTACAACTTGATGTCTACTCATTTTCTTTAGAGAATAAATGTTGATCATTGAAAAAAGAGGATTGTATTGCACCCTTGTAAGTACTATCTTACCCTTGGATACTGCCTACTCCCAAGATCCCAGCTTTTCTTTTCCTTTTTTTTTTATGTGCGTCTGCATGCGCGTGCATATGATTGTGTGCATGTGTGTATGGGCACGCTCGCATGCGCATACTTGCATGTGTGTGTATTTGTTTTTGGGGTGGGGGGATTAGTCTCCATTGTTGACCTCCTTGGCATAAATCCAAACTAATTTGCTGATATGCCGGTTTCATATCTTAGTCATTGCTCAATTACTTTCTCCCACAGTTTCATAATGTTGCTCATAACTTTAATCCCTCAATAGTTCACTCTACTTTGTATGTCTCCTTTCTTCTTGTAAATAACTTCTACAATACTTTTCCTCTATTCATCTGGCATTTCTTTTGTTCCCAAAATGTTGTTGAACAACTTGCTCAACCAGAACATGCCAATCTTTCCCATGCACTTCCAGACTTCTATTGGTATACCATTTGGTCTTAGAGCTTTTCCTATCTTCATCTTTCTTGAAGCTTCTTTTAGTTCAATTCTTAGGTAAGTATCTATGACATATGTCCTTATTTATGTCAATCATTCTTCCTAACCCTGAGGTGCCAAAGTGGGTCATTTATAGTTTCTGAAAATAAATTCTCCACCTTTCATTGACATTGTCATCCTTCATTAACACCCTCTGATCCTCCCTCTTAATGCATTTAACATGATCTAGGTCCCTAGACTTCCTCTATCATTTTTGCTAGTTTGAAGACATATTTTTCAATTTCTTTTGTCCCCAATTTATTATATAGATCATCATATGCCTTAAACTTAGCCTCACTATTTTCTTAGTGTTTCTCTTTGCATTTCTATATCTTTTTTGCCATCTTTTGTCTTCAATTTATTGTATAGATCATCATATGCCTTACACTTAGCATTACTATTTTCTTAGTATTCCGTATTTCTCTTCGCATTTCCAAATATACATTCATATATATATATATATAGAGAGAGAGAGAGATAGAGAGAGAGAGAGAGAGAGAGAGAGAGAGAGAGATCATGTGTATTTTAAATGCACCGTAAGACTTTGTATAGAGTCCTTTTGCCCTTTCTTTTAAAAAATCTCTTTTCACTCCTTTATTTCACTAATTTGTTTTTATTAGAACTTTTTAGAGCCCTCATTGCCTCTCTCTCTCTCTCTCTAAGCCTTGTATTCCACCTTTAAGCTTCCCTCATCCTTTTCTCTCTTTGTCTCTCTCTCTTTCTCAATCTCTTCCCTCTTCTCTATCACGCAAAACAATCTCCTGCTTCTTCGCACCACCAATTATCCACCATTCTTTTCCCCCCCAAGTGGATCTCTCTCCTCTGCCCTCTTTTCACTCGATTTCTGTTTCTCCTTGCTTCATTAACTGCCACTGGGTTCCTTTCTTCGTTGCCCTCTCTGACTAACATGAAAGATTCATAAAGTAAGGCAAGAGGACCTTTTCACATTGAAGATTTGCTTGCGGAGAATCAATGTAGGGTTGATGAAAATGCCAAAAATCTGGCGTACTCAAGAAACTATGACTATTTGTGAGGTTGCCGGAAAATTGTCATCCAAAGTCACCAGAAAATCTTTATTTGAAGGGAATTTTGGGAAACAAGTAGGCTGACCCATTTGGCTGGAATGTTTTGCGAAGGTCAATAACTGGGAGAACCCTGTATGTCACTATGCTCTTTCCTCCTATTTATATGTAAAGAAAATATGATTCATGTTATTGGAGTTCTGGGTTTTAGTTGGGGAGAGTATCCTGACTGAGAATACAGTAGAGGAGGATCTTATGGGGAGGAGAGCGGTGGCCTGTGAATGAGAGAGAGAATCAAAAGGTTCATTCTTTGGAAAGAGACCTTAATCCATCTAGATACCCCTCCAGAGAGAAAGAGGACCATTTGCTTGGTAGACTGACAGATGTAATTGATAAAATGACCCAAAAAGGTGATGGAATTCTCCTTCTGGACATCCACTGTTATATTGCTGTGAGAGGGGCAGAAGTGGTAGGGGGTGAAAAGGGGAGTGAGAAAGGGGGAGGGTCTTAATGGGGAACTAGAGAAAGGGCAAAATAACAGTAGAAGTTCTTATTGAAAACCATTTGACAGGCTCATTACTTGATCTCTTCTCATCTCTAGAATAGACAGTCTAGAAATCTTATATACTCTCTTTCTCACTCTATAGGGATTGTATAGAACATTACTTTTTGGTACAAGGAGGTCACAATCACTTTTAGCAATTGGATGTGAAATCCAATAGATGAAAGTGTGTCACAACATTTGAGAAATTTTATTTTGGACTTTGTGCCCAAACAATGACTCATCCTCAACCACCCGATTTTAAATTTAGCGGTCAGTGATCATTGTGACCTCTTTGTATGAAAAATAAATGGTCTCCTTATATATATATATATATGTATTATATGTACTAGCGAAGATACATGCTCCACACGTGCTTTAGGTTATACATATTTGGATATTTCTATTTTATCATACCCAACAAATTAGCTGATGCATTCATAGATACCATAGTAAATGATAAATATTTTAGCAATTTTGTTGTTAATTCAAGAATTTTAAACTGTATTTCATAGAAAATATGTATTACATTTTTTAATAGGGATTATATGTATGAAACCATTTACGTATAATGCATGGAGGTCATAATCAAATCTACCTATCATATGTGAAATTCAATGGCCTGGGTTATGTCATGAATCTCAAAATTTTTTCTTGTGGACATTGAACCAAGACAATGGAGACTCTAAGCCGCATGATTTGAGATCCAATGGTCGATAGTGATTATGACCTATTTGTACCAAAAGCAAAAAGTCTTAACCTATACTTTACTTTTTTAATAACATGATCAATTGAAATCCTCTATTATTTATTACTAACAAACTCGAATTGTCCATCTAGTTTGTTCAAATAGTAATTGTTGAATAAATAGGCCTTTGGAGGTTCAGTTAAAGAGTTTTAATAATGATCTTATCGCAATAGTACATTGTATGCATGGGCTCTTGAAATTTTGCAACACAAGTTTCTGTTAAGACGATGAAATAGAAACCTCACAAAACTCAATTCTAAAAATACAAAGAATAGGAATAGTCGTGCCTGATCGATGTTCTAAAACATACATAAATGAGAAGTTTTCTATTTAAAGTTATAATTTTCTTCCCCAATTTCAGATTATTACAAAAGAAAGAAAGAAAAGGAAGTTACCTGAACTTATTGCGTTTTTAGAATATATAGAGAACAAAGTCTTCCCTGAAAATGAGGAGGGAGAGAGATTAAAATAAGAGAGAGATAGGAAGTGAGAGAGATCATATAAAACTATTAAACACTGGTACTTCATTATTTAGTCATCAAATGCAAAGCAACTAAGATGAAGAGAGATAGAACAGATCTTTGCCTAAACTGAGGAAGTGAAGATTGTTCCTTTCTCGACCACCTACGACATAATGGGAAGAAGAGAAGAGGGACACACATGACTATTGAGGTCTCTAAAACTCTTAGCATGCAGAGCTTCAACCAACAACTAAGAGACGTAATGGCTGGCCTTGAGAAAAATGTCAGGATCTCTAGCAGTTTCATTGCCTTATTTCCCAAAAATTTCACAAAAGTTGTGACCCACTATGTATCATAGATATTATAGATTGTTTATAATCTATTATATTATATTATATCATTATACAATATATATTATATAAAAAGCGTGAGGACCTTAAACTTTTTTTGAACTCTTCCCAATCTCGAGTATAGGAGTGTTAGGTAGGCAAGCCAATGTAAAACTTTACCGAAACTTTCCATGAATCTGGAATGCGGACCATGGTTCATGTAGCTGACCACAATTAGTTGGGAAAAGGCTCTGACGACGACGATGATGATAATATATATATAT